AAGGCACTTTCTCTTCATGTCAGACTTTTGCGAACAGCGCGGTCAGCTGGTTAATGATCGCCACACCGCCGTACTTGAATAGTTCCGGAGGAAGTCCGTCTAAGCCGGCAGCCTTGAAGCGCTTCAAGCGTCGAATCTCGAGACAGACTTCTGCTTCGCTGGGTGGATTCAGAGGGACGAGCCAGGGTGGACAACAAGGTGTACTGCATGTACTGATGGATGGTGGAGGCCAGTTGAACTGCGAGTGAAAGTGCTCGGCCCAGCGGTCCATACGCCTCTGTTGGTTGGTGATCGGAGACTCATCCACCTCACAAATGACCTCACTGACACCAGGCTTTTGAGGCCAGTGGACCGAATGAGTTGGAAAAGCCTGCGAGTGTTGCCAGAGAGGGCAGCGGTCTCCATCTCTAAAGCACGCTCAGACCACCATGTCTCGCGATCCTTGCGTAGGCTTTGCTTGAGCAGCCGGTTGGCAGAACGGCGCCGCTCGTTGCAATCTGAATTCGCGGGGATATCTTTGCGGCGTTCGAACAGCTCCAGAGAACGAGCAGAGATCCAAGCCTTCAAGGGGCGTCGAGTTAGGCCGCAGCATGACTGTCCGGAAATGGTCATTGCCTTCCGTATACAAGTCCAGTGTTGTTCCACTTCTTGCGGTGGATTGCAACTGAGTGCATATGCCAGTGAAGACTGATAGCTCGTCTGGACAGAGGAATCAGTTAATCTGTTTACATCAATCTTGCGGTGCTTCGTGTTTCGGGATCCTCCAAAACACATACAGATTTTCGCGCAGACCAGAGCATGATCTGAGTCAACGAAGGTGGACCAAAAGGACCTGCAGTCCAGTACGCTGCCGCGCCATCTGAAGCTAATTGCAATGTGATCAATTTGAGACCACGGTTGTGTTGAAGAAGGGGGACGCCACGTTGCGGAACGCTTCTTCGTACGCCTGAAGTTAGTGCTCGAAAGAAACAGACGGTTGTCTTCGCACAATGTGAGAAGTCTCTCTCCGTTATCAGAGCGGTTCTCATCGAGCGAGTGATGACCACCAAGGTGGCGTTCGTATGGTAACAGGCGGCCAACCCATGCATTAAAATTCCCAGCAAGGATAACGACATCCGACTTTTTAGCATTAGTCAAGAGCTGTTGTAGATCCCGGTAGAATTCGTCCTTGACCGAGTCGCCACTGCAGTCAGTTGGAGCGTACACGGAGATCACAAACAAGTTGTGTCTCTCTTCGCGGTGCCTGTTGATTCTACATGAACCCCGAAGCCGAACTGCACATAGTCGGCTGTTAATAGGGAACCAGTCCAGTAGTGCCGCCTCGGCCTTGTCACTTAGTGCTATACCTACACCAGCCAGACCCGCTGAGGCTGCTTCTGGATCTCCAGAAAGACGCAGGTGATATATGGCTTCGTGGTCAGTAGGGGATGTCAATGTGGGCACAGTGCTGGGATCTTGCAATCGGGTTTTTGAAAGGCAGCAGACATCAATGTCTAGGGAATCTAGGGTGCGCGCTAGACCGGCTTGCTGTCCAATCTGCATGATTGTCCGAACGTTGAAGCACGCCAGACGGAACGAGGATCGGGGACGAAGGAGATCCATAGCTTGAACCTCTTGGTCTGCGGCGCAACCGGAATCGCAGCCAGATTGTTGAACACATGAATCGGGTAACGGAAAGTGAGGATTGTTAACAAACAAACAATTGGCTTGTGATGAAATCGCGTGAAAGTGACTAACAGAAAGAGCAGCTGATGAGCAAGTTGTAATGCAGTCCATGGTTTTGCGAGAGGGCGTGATGCTACCCGGTTGCCCAAGCCGAAGTATGGAGTTGACTTAGGGGACTCCACCCCGAGCCTTTGGCTAAATAACCTACCCGCAAAGCATCGGGGCGAATTTAGGGAATCGCGCCCATTGGGAGGCGTTGACTGAATGTTCAGTTCATGCGCCTTTGTTTGGTATATTACCAAACGGGCATAATACTCCCCACGAAGTCAGCACACCTGCTGGAATACAATGTCCCACCGAGGTGGAACATTGTCTCCGAACACTTTGCTGGAACGGGGTACACCCGAACCACCCAGCTGGCATCACGAGGAGGTAGTTCGTCAAGCCAGCCAGGGCCGCTTTTACAGCGCGTCAGTTCGCTCAGTATTTTTGTATGGGTGCGATTCCTGGCCGATTCGCGTGCAAGACATGCGTCGTCTTTCTTCCTTCGATAACGGTTGCTTAAGGAGGATCGCTCGTGTTTGGTGGCAACATCGAGTTAACAGTAATGACGTTCGACGTCGCATCTTGGGGAATGCGAGTACTCCCTTCAACAAACTGGTTTTGTTGCGCCAGTTGAGATGGCTCGGTCACGTCCTACGCATGGCACCTGAGCGTCTACCGCGTCGCGCTCTATTCGCTCGTCAAGGATCTGGCTGGAGGCGACCGCGTGGTGGTCAGCCTTCCACTTGGCGGCAGCACATGAAATCGCTGACGTGGTGTTTAGCCGCTGTTGGATCCGTACGTCTTCCAGGATGGGGACCCAAAGATGAGGAGTGCCAATGGCTTAGCACTCTTGGAGATATGGACCGCAACCGGAATCATGGAAGAATTGTGTACAGTATTGTATTGATTCACATGTTTAATACTACGAACATTAAAATGACAAAAAAAGAACAAAAGCGGTGTGTGAAAAACAAGCTAAAAATGTTTTGTTCTACTTTTTATCGAAATGTTCCATTCTTCCTGCGGCATATTAGTTGAAGTGTGTTGCTCATCTTCAGCTAGCATGCCACGATGATTATGCCGGGAGGAATCTTGCTTATCCGCTGATCTCCATGGTTTTATGTTGTTAGACTGTTGAGATTACTTACTTACTTATCAGTGTCGCGAAGTTCGTCCACTCCGCTCTCCACGGGTGCCAGTTTTCGGGCATCGAACCATCCATCATATCCAATAGAGTAAGCATCACTACAAATGGCTGCCAGCCAACGCAAACTTGCTAATCGCTCATCGAGTTCTTCTTTTTCTCTGACACCATGTTGCGTGCCTAGTTCTCTCAGCCGCATCAAGAGGAAGAAGTCGCCCGGCTCTGCACACAAACGATCTAATCACAGATCTCAGGCAAAGTACAACTAACTGTGATTTTAAAAACTCACCTGACCACTCGATCGATGGCCTGATCGACCACACTGCTGCAGGTAATTCCATTAGCCCCAACTGTCAGCCCGATCACAGATATCACTTCAATGTCCCAGATAGTGTTGAAGGTCATTGATGGACTAGTCACTTTAATCTTTCAACGAAGCTGAATGAATTTTGTGCGTTACAGGAGCGATTTAATGTCGAATGTCCTCTAAAGTTGGAGGTGTGACATCTCACAGAGCCCTACTACCCGCCAACGCTCGCCATCACTTCTGAGACCACTTGTCAGTCACTGTTTTAAGATGTTACGAGCACAATGGAACTGAGTACCCAGCAGAACCCATTACTTTTTTGGCCATCCTTCTCGACGCCTCCGAACTACCTTAGCAGTCTGATCGTCTCAAGTTGGTGTACGGCAGGATTCCGATGCATCTCATTCAGGGCATATTTTACACGATTCTATTCGGTGTTCAACTCACCAATCTTCGTCTTTGACTACTGGTTGTGTGGTTCATCGCGCTGTTGCTGCATTTCTTGCTGATTTCAGGTTACAGTTGAGAAACTTAAATGTTTACCGTTTCTGTGGAGACAAAGCGGTGAACGCTGTGCGTGCTTGTACTAGCGCATGATCCCGGTCCAAGCAAATGTTCCGAATTAATCGACAAGCATGCCGTCTTTAGCTGATAGCAATATGATCACTTAGGGTCCAGCTCATGGAAGAGTTCGGCGGGTGCCGTGTGATGCGATAAGACGTTTTACCTGGAAAGCAAGATTGCCGATGTCAAGATTGTAATCAGCGTATAGTTGCAGAAGTTTCTCGACTTTATCCGTTCGGCGAGTATCGACCCCAAAACGTTCTCCCAGGCGTTGTTTAGAATCCGATATGTAACCTAGTGTCATTCACATCACCAACAACGGTCACGATGTCACAAAGGACTGGTAGGGGGTTTGAATGCCATAAGTAGGAACTCCTCATGATGTCAGCGCTGTTCACTACTCTCGTAATAGACTAGAGCTGTCGATAGAATACGTCTTTGATACCAGTTGGGCCATAAACAGGTGCAGTCTTTAAATGGTGCAGTCGAGCCACACACACACGCATGTGTCGTCCAATCGGGTTGATTGCCCCCAGTATTTTTTTTACTAAGGACGGTACTAACACTATGTTTACTTCCATTTGAATCATAGCCCTGATTAAGGATGCGCGTCGCAATCCACTCACTGAAAGATCGCTTCAAAATGACTCTCTAATGGATATCTTTAGTTATTTGCACATTATTACTGGGGACGCGGCGAGGAATCACTACTGACAAGTTCGGTGTCAGGAAGTCGAAAACTCGCTTCGACGCTATTGCTTCCTATGCGTAGTTCGGAGGTACACAAGTGCGTGAGTTGGTACTAACGGTTGGCAGAATGCAGACGTTGGACGAATCTCTGCGAAATGAAACCCTTTGTCTGAAGGACGAGTTACATGCATTTGTCACGCTAGGTGCGAAGTCAGCCGCAGTCCCATGCCCAGTAGATTGGGATGACGAGAACTGCAATGGTCGAGGCTTCGAGGTAGCGATTTTGATAAGGTAGCGAGACAGTACGAAAAAAGATGGTGCGTCTTCCTAGTTTGGGATTTGCTACTTGCTCCATCAGTGATTTTCATCATGGCACAGCCGCGGACTCATTTGCGCTGTTCTATTCGCTTTTCTGTTCGCTGTAAACCTCTCCATGCTTTCATCCTCCTTGCGATCTTCGCTCATTTTTGTTTTCCTTTCCCCATTTTCCCTGTTATGTTCACTTATCATTACTATGCAAGCTCTTTTCTCTGCGCATTGTTGTCCTTTTAGTATTTGTTACACTGACATTTCCATTCTATTTAGATCAGTCACAATGGCAATCCCGTTACCAGCGGTTTCCGAACGCATGAACAACCCCAAGAATCCTGTCGTGTTTTTCGATATAACCATCGGAGGCCAGGTCGGTTAAACTTCAGTTGTTCTTTCCTGCATGCTGGGTTTTCACTTTACATATTTCAATTTGGAAAAATGGAACAATCTAACAAGCTACACTGAGGTCTTGTATACTGTTTATTCTCATCCACTTGACTTTACACTGTGGAATGATCATCCGGTTGGTGTAGTTCGGCTCAAGCTGATAATAACTCGCACCACCCAATAACCAAACTTGAGACCGGATAGATCGCAAGCAGAGAGCTTCCCATCTGGATCCAGCCATTTCTATTATCGTGGGTTTCGCAGGCGTTCCTAAATCAGCTTGCTCTCGGAACCCCTACAATGAGATAATGTGCATTCATTTAGGTTCGAATGCTTCAGTGACATAACAGCAACATTCAAAATTAATAAGGAGGACAGTGTCCCTGTACCCTCGTAGGTCGTCGTCACATGGCATTAGCGCCTTTGTGCCTTTTACGGGGCCCACTTTCGAAATTAAAGACCTGCAACTGTTCTTGTCAACTCTCTACCTGGCTTTGAGATTCGCGAAGTTCTTGCAACTGCTTGAGTTCCTGATAATCTGTACTAACTACGAAGTGTCTTCCCAACAAGTGATGGTGAAATTGTTTAACAAATGTGACGCAATACTTCCATTCTGTCGTTGTCAGTTTGCAACTGCCATAGCCTACATCCCGTTCGATCCCATCACCTGACATCTGAGGCTACACAGCGCCAATACCGACCTCACTTCCGTATGTGTCGGGAATCATCAGACTTTCTTGCATCGACAAATCCGGTAGACAGTAACTGGAGCGCTAGCTGTCTTGTGTCGCAAGGTGTCAAGCGACGGCCAACTCTACTCTGCATAATGTTTTACAAAACACCTTTGATAAGATGTCAGACGGATAAAATTTCTAACTTGCAGACATGGGAACAGGCTACTTTAAGCCATCTTGTACTTTTGATCAGTCAGTTCGGATGCTAAAATCACTGATCATATCGCCTAGGAATCTGATCTCTTTCTTCAAGAGACCACACGTACACTGATTCAACTTCAAGCCAACGGAACTGTGACACTGTACTACCGCCGCTAAGTTGGAAAGGTGCTCTTCGGGTGTCCGTCCATGGACGATGTCGTCGAATATTTACTTGGTTGCAGTCCCTGTGAATTGTGTACATCAGTCGTTGGAAGGTATCCGGGGCGTTGGCCAGCTCCAATGGCGTTTTTTGGTAAACGAATGTTGTTTTTTCTGTACCTGTAAAATATACTTCAACTCGTCAATAGTCTGATGCAAGATCTAAGGTGGATAACCATTTAGAGCCATGCAGTGCTTCAGCAATATCATCAATGCGAAGGAACGGAAAGCAATTCTTCCGTGTTGCCTCATTAATCTTCCTGTATTGGACGCACATCCGCAGCGATCCATCCTTTTTGACCAGCACGATGGATGAAGCCCACGAGGACTGTTCTGTAAGCTTTTAAACCTCCTAATGGTGAACAGTGGGAACACGCCTTGGCCTTTGTCTTTTCAGTGGAGTGTCGCCCGTCTCGATTTGATGCTTAACCTCACTTATCCTGTCCAGTGATGTACCCTACCAGGCAAATGCGTTTTTCAAGTACAAGAGTTTCTTTGGACATCTTCAGGTACCGTTATCAACCGCATAGTTAAGAAACAATAAAATATCTAATAATTCGCCTTTCATCTCAGTGAGGTTGACATCTAAGGTAAAAAGCTTCTTATCATAGCAGTCGGCAATCTTAAGTTACAATAGCAACGTCGTATCGAGTGACCGGTGGCCGAGTGGCCTACACGCCTAGCTTGTATTCTTAAGATCACCGGTTCGAATCCGCATAGGAGCGGGGATCCTCGCGGTATACTCAGCCCACGCGCGATTGTTGGTGGTATCGCAGCAGTGAAGCGCCGTTACGGCATACAGCTGATACATTGTTATTGCTATAGAAAATCAGAGCAAAAGACCTACATGCAACGTCTTACACAAGTTTGACAAACTGAGGTTTCCTAGCAACGTAGCGCGGTCGAACTTTACACAGTTGTGTTCGTGCAAACAGCTTGGTGGTAGTAGCTTGACGTCCAGAACAATTTGGGCAATGCGCTTGCCAGTTCGTTGATTTGGCTCTTGTAGGGGAATCGGTTTTCTCCGGTCCGTGAACCGAACCCCAATGGCCAGAATTCTTTTCACATCACTCTGCCGCCTTTCCCGTATCACTGCCCTCTCCAAGTAATAAGGGGGCTCACGACTGAAACGCCCCGAAGTGCTTTGATCATTAATCCCCTCAACAAGGCGCTCTGAGGTTAACGCTTCTCGTTTTCTAACCGATTTCCCCGAGAATGGTTTTATTGACAGCACCCTAACGTCTTGTAAGAATAATAATGATACCCATTACATGTCCTCCCGCGACCTTCTTCAGAATGTAGAGCGAACAGCTGACCAATGTTTCCTGTTAGGAAATAGAGATCCCAGTTAGTGTCAACTTGCGTCAAGGGCCTCTTTGGAATGGTACTTTTCCAGCGGCATTTTCTGCACCCGGATCACTCAACCCGTTTATTAACACCGCGACTTTATACTCCTCGAGAACACAGGAAAGCGATAGTTCCATCCGTCGACGCCAAGTGCGCAAGTTCGTATGGACGTCGGATACTGGAGGGGGACGAAGGTACAGTTGCCAATGACCAAGAGCTGACGGCTGAAAAAGTTTCGGCTGCGTTGTGGCATTTGGTTCCCACGCATTTTATTTTGCTTTTATGTGGTAGACGCGATTCGTCGCATCTCACCTCATGGTAAGTACTAGAGGAAGCAATATGCAGAGTCGTTCAGTTTAAATCCAACGATCAGCAACCACACCAACATAAGGTGAGTTGGGTTATAAATTTAGCCTGATTGTACAAATCAGGTTTTAGCCGCTGAGTTGACGAGCCTTCGGCAAACTGGTCGGTTGGTTATTTTGAACGATTCTGGGGACTTCTGACACATAGTAGCCGAGCAATGTGGCTGGCCGGTAGGTTTTGACCGTTCGCGACCATATTACTTGGAACGTGTTCTGATATATTTTTAGATAGGTTGCTTGTTAACTCATTTACTGTGAAAAAGGTAGACACCTGATGTGGTAACTTGGGGATCTAGCTTATCCAGTTTGGATTTACATAGCAACCTCCTCACTTTGGTCTGAGGACGGCAGTTCGGCACTTCACCTTGGTGTTACAGGGATGATTCTGGAATCTTCGATCCTTTTGGTCACCTTTGGAGGGGGTAGGGGCATTCACCAACCGCTTCTTAATTTAGCCTGAACTATTTCGTTTCATTTCGTTGATTGGTTTATCGACCCTTGCTTACTCCGCACTGACGAAGTCACCTCGATTGATGATGAAATGTCTATAACAAAATAGTTCAGCTCGGATAACAGGCCTAAACCTGAACAGACAACCCGAGCTTCAATTATTCCTCCTTCTTGCTTGCTTCTCAATTTCTTTATGCCAAGAATCTCTCGGGTTATCCGTTTTCACACAATGTAAATGACACACGTATCAGCTCACTGTCGATCACATCTTTAGAACAAGTTTTACGAGCTTTCACCTTGTCTTGGCAAGGTTATTGATCCTTTTAAATTTAAATTAAGTGACCTGCACATTGTTTTCTGTTGTGTTCAACACACCACATGAAAACAGCTGATGGGAATTCCTTACATGGTTAATTATTAGCTTCCCAACCTGTATTTCTGTTATTTAGTGATGGTTGGCTCATACATTCTGGTTTTCTCCAATCGGCCTTTGTCGCCCCTACAAACTATTACGTTGATAGCATTTCACACCATGCTTCCGTGAGGGTGCATTTCGATTTCTAGGGCCTATCTTTGTGCGTCCCGGTTACCGTCGAGAAGTTCGTTGCATAGCTGTAAAAGGAATTGTGTAGTTTTGGCATTTTCGAACTTTCCGGTTTGTATTCCATCCTCTGAATCCAGTTGCATAACTCGATCTGACCGCATTTCCGGAGAATCAGCTGGTCTTATTTGCTCCTCTAATATTTGTTGCACGGCACAATCTAGTGCTACTTCTGATTGCTTGTCCTATCCATTAGCGTCCCCTTTGGATTCATCTCGTCTTCCTTGTCAGTTTGTGTGCACAAACATCACCTACTTCAACACATGTCGTCCAATTTGATATCCTGCTGAATACCAAACCGGCGATCAGAAGGCCCATTTTATCGTCTGCACTTTATTCTTTCACGCGCTCTATCGCCATGCAACGGGGGTCAGTCCATCCGCAAACTATCGCATATCATTCTTGTGCGGAGGAACATGCGCGACGGCTATTTACTGATTCTTTTTTCTGCCTCTTCTTACCTACTTTAGGAGATCGGTCGAATGCAGTTTGAACTCTTCCATGACATTGTACCCAAGACTGCGGAAAACTTTCGGTGAGTTGAGACCCAACACCCTCAGTCTGTGTTACAACGCTTTTCGGAACTTTACTCAGCTTATACCTCTGTTCTCTTAGGCTCGTGCTTTTCCTGTGCCTCCCTTTACATTGGTTGGCCCGGATTTTCAAGGTAACAAGCTCGTATTTTAATCAGACAGCACGGGTTCAAGTCTGCATAGGTGACCTGGCGACCCTCGCAGTATCCTTAGCCCACGCGCGACCGGTGATTGTTGCGCGGCAGCGAAGCATCGTTAATGCATACCGGCGTACTGCTAATGCTTTACCATCTTAATGAGGCTACCGTGGTGCGATGGTCTGTGTGCCTCAGTGACCCATTGAGCTATGCTGGGTAGTGCTTTTTGCACCTTCAGAGCCACTCATACCAGATTGGTCAATGGTTAGAGGCCAAACAAACTCAGGCTCCTGGTCCAGCATGTTCGGGGTTGAAGTGAGTGTGGCTCCTTATTCCTTAAAACGGACTCTTTGTAGCCCAATGCTAAACCCGCTGCCTTGCGGACAGGTTTTTGAACCAAAGGCTTTGGTTGAGAACCCTAATCGTTCTCCTGTCTGGGATTGGGCAACCTGACAGTATGCTGCTGGTAGCTCAGCTGGCATGCAACTGTTGTATTTATTTTCTTTTTTCTTTTATGTATTGCGGCACAGTCGCTGAGGCGTTTTACACCTCTAGCTAACGTATATAATGATGATAATGATGCTGATGCTTTAGATTGGTTGTGTGACTGCCTTGTTCATCGGTGTGAATTCCCTTTCCCTAAGTTCGGCCCACGTAATCTTGGTGATATCTTTGTTCCTTTTTAGTGACACTAGAAGAGTTCCCCTCTGATAGCTTCTGCCAACACCATAAATTGGCCGAATTCTTATTCTTTGGCTGGTTTTCCAAACAAGACTATACCTACTTCATGTTTCGTAAAAGCAATCTGAGCAATACTCCTGCTTACCAACATTTCCTGGATAACGTCGCTGTCTTGGTTAAGCTATTTAACCTTCCCATTTAAAACCATTTACGCGTTTCTCGATGCCTATGTGGCCTCCTCGTGAATATTTCCCTATTCTGTTTGAGGTAAAACGACGGAGTATAGACATTGCCCCTCTCTCGTACTGTGTAAACTTCGTAGCGCTGCACGCTTCGGCATGTACTTTGTACCTTCAAAGTGCAAATCGCTGTTGCAGGATTGCGCTGACACACCTCCGGTTATGGCTACTTCTGAACAGGCACTGGAAATGGTGGATCGGTTCATTTGCCTTGGTAGCTGTGTTACCTCTGGTGGTCACATCACTGAGGAAGTCATTTCGCGTATCAGTAAGGCATAACAACCTACCGAGACGGTGCGATATCAGCTTGTCAGTGAAAGGTAGGGTGTATAACACTGTGATATGGCCAGTCTTACTGTATGGATCGGAGACCTGATCAGTTCGCAGTGAAGACATTAAACGCTTGACCGTGTTTGGCCACCGGTGATTACGAAGTATTGCTCACGTTTGGTGGGAACACCGGGTGAGCAATGCTGAGGTTCCCTAGTTGATTTTTGTCAAGAAACCTGATGCTTCACTTGAGTGTTTGCTAACTCCTAGTTTCTTGCATTTAGCTATGTCATGTCCCTTGTACTCGCGTTTCTCGGCTTCCTTGGCGTGCGTTGTAAACCATGGCCGCATCAATTTGGGTGAGATCGCGAGGTGCCCAGTCCATGATATGGCATAGAAACCTGTGAGACTTAGTCAGGCTGGTGCGTTCCATTCTGATTAGTGTGACCCATTTCCTTCTTGCTTCTATTTTCTCTACATTCTATTTGCACCCAAACCCACTGTCCTGTGGTTGTTGTTTATTGTTATTATTACGGTGTTAATCGTGGCAACTGGATCCACCGCACTTCGCTGCTCATCTCATAGTGAACCAATTGAACTGAACTGAACTTTGTCAACTTGTTCTGCGTTCCAGGCAATTATGCACCGGCGAGTATCGAAAGGATGGTGTCCCAACTGGCTACAAAGGCTCCTCGTTTCACAGGATCATCAAGGATTTCATGGTCCAAGGTGGTGATTTTATCAACGTACGTTTAACTCCCTTTTTTCTGCTTACGGGGGATCAGACATTTCTTGCGCCTTTCTGATCTGCGGCTAGCTTTTTATGTGGCACGTACCATTCGCTGCTGTTGCATTCAAGCGCATTCGAATTTCATTGAATCAAGCACTGTTGGAAGTTCCAAAGAGTTAGACATTTTTCGTTCAACAAATGCTTTTATCCATGCCCCCATCTTATTTCAATATTTTTTAGAATTTCGGTAGTTTGTATACTATGCCCACCGCAGAGTGCCTACCCGCTCTGAATTTTGACCTTTCTCACTTGTCTTTTGGGGTATTTGAGATGCATTCGGTTTTGCACTGTGGCTTTTAACAAACACGACCACGAAATGCCACACTCGCAATTCAGTTGACTTTCAAATGGTAAACGACCTCCTCTGGAGTCTCCGGCATATTTTTGCTCCTATTTGCCATCGGTCACTCGTACTTGGATGGTCTCAGTCGCACCGTTGAGAAATTGTTGTTTGGTCCGCTTAGTACTAGTGAACACCCGAACGACTTAACCTTATTCCGCGAAGTTTGTTTCCGCGATATTGTTGCCAAAACTTTGATCTGACCACCTTGTATTGCAGTGGTGTTTTCCTATATTTTTACACTCAGACAGTCGTAAGCTTCGCCTCGAGTTACCTGTACCACGTTTCTTCGATTTGTACCCCGGTTTAACTGCCAATTTTATCTTTCTTCATCGCCAGTTAGGTTTTACTCCGTTTCATCACAACGGACGTATATTTTCTCCAAGCTATACGATGTCTGTAACTGTTACCTCGGTAGTTCAATTTTTTTGCGTGCTGATGTTCTCCTATGCTTTGGACTGCTGATCGGTGATTGCCACGTGTGACATGTAATCCGAAGGTTAGATCCTTCACAGGTGTGGTCGGACTCGCAATATACTTACTGGTATCCTACCACTGGTGGCGGCATGGTTACGAAGCGTCAGCGTAAGGTGCCGATATACTATTGATTTCATTATGGTTGGAACTGCTTTTACTTTATTATGTGATGAAGAAACAGACTAACACAGCTCTGTGATGATCATAACTCCTGAGAGAGTAGCTGTTTCTGGCTTCTTGACGATGACGCGCCCTTAGCTGGCGCGCACATGTTTGTGACATGCAAGTGAGGATGAAGTCGATTACCACTCGTGGAGGGTTTCGGTGTCGCTCTCTCCCATCCCTGGAGTGCAGGGATGGGACAAAGCGACACAGAAACCCTCCACTTCGGTGACGGTCCCAGTGACCGTATTGGCAGAGGCTGACTTCAAAGTCAACCGACGCCACTAGTGAGATTGCGCGTCGCAATCCAAGACACACGGCGGGTGCTCCAAATACCCGAAAATCGATTACCACTCCTTTCGCAACTGCTGGTGCCCGATCGTATCGAAGGAGTCGTACTGATTTTCTTTTACTCTGAAGTGTTAAGGATTCTCTAGCGATTCTTTTCTCAGAACGTAATGACTCGGGTCATGGCTCACTATTTCCACTTTGCAACTCTTTTCCATCGTTCTGCTTTTTTCCGTCAGTCCGATGGAACCGGAACCTTCAGTATCTACGGAGGAGTGCAGTTTGCAGATGAAAACTTTCGCATGAAGCACAATTCGCCTGGCATGTTGTCCATGGTCAGTCTTTAGATCATCCCACTCTGGGATTAACTCGCTGCATTTTATGGTATATTTTTAATCATAGTCCAGCTGTTTTTCTTTCCTTTAATTGCTCCGATTCGTTTCACTCATATTAGCTGCTCGAAATTTTGTTTCTATAATTGTTTATCTCATATGAACTTCACTTTCTAACTGAATTCATCGTTACCCCGCCAAATGTTTATTCACATAAACCAGCGCAAATCGCCGTTTCATTATTTCTGCCCTCGTCATCTACCGTCGTCATTCGAACATGCACGCCAATTTACACATGTGCGAGGTATATGGTCGAATTTGAACTTTATTGTAAAACGCCTGAGGTCCATCGCATGGTACATTAGCTCAACTGCCCGACTTTCTAGCCCGATTTCGATCATCTTTTCCCACTTCTCTTCGCGTGCCCTAGTGCTATCCCATTCTGTGTACAACCGTCTTGCGATTGAAGGACTACGAAGTCCTAATGCTGTGTACGGATATCCTACCCATACCACTCTATCGTTTCTATGGGTGTCTGCCAGCGGTTTGGAATAACCAAGTTGCACCTGCTTCCGTCTGAACATCTTCCATCTGAAATCATGCAATTCGAGTTCCTAAAACGCCGTTTCTCGCAACTTCTGTCGAGTTATCTAGATAGTTGGGATAGCGGTTGTTTGAAGCTGCGATTCAGTAACTCACGGATCTTAGAGCCATAGTGATCAAGGCGTCAACCTTTATCTACTACGCCCCGAGTTCCACCCCAGCTTAGGCTATCTCCATCTGATGCGTCCAAACGACGACGAAACCGGTTACGGGGTGTCAGGGTTGGGCCGATCAACACCAAACCACCTCCAACTCTTTTTTAAATCCTAACACCCTACACAGTCTCGCCACACTTGTCCTTCATTCAATTCCACCTAGTACCTCAGTTTGTTTTACTGATTGTTCCACTTGCGTAATGCGGATAAAACCCTTACGTATCATCCTGTTGCTTAGCGTTAATCACCTTATCATCGCGCCATCACATCATAAATATGGTTTTGCAGCATATTTTTGTGACCCGCTAGCAAATTTCATCAAGTGCTTCAAAATGAACTCTCCAACCAATCATTACCTCTTTTGACAAGTGCTGTCCGCCTCGACACAGTGGCTTAGGGTCGAGGCACCTCAGCTGATCACCAAAATATCTCGATTTCGTATCGCAATCTTGCCATCTTTACCTGATGAGTGCAGACGAGTACCAATCCAGTGTTGAAATGCAATGTTGCGTGTGTGTGTGTGTGTGTGCTTCAACTGAATTCGCAGTGACCGAATTTACCGAGGTTCACTTGAAAGTAGATATCGATTCAGATTTAGATTGTATTTAACAACCCACCACCCTTCATCCATTTTGTATTCGGGAGTTTGTTCCACTATTGTTGCTTCAGGAACTGGCCTTTCCGTGTTTGACTATCTTTGTCGTCTATCGTGGTTGAGGAATCAGTAGCGATTTTGCATTTACTGCATTCCGTTTTTTAGTTGCCAATCATTTCATCCAACACTGCACACGTTTTTGTATCTTCAGCGCCATCTGAATCACACAACCTTAAAATCACACCACTTGGCCCTTGTGTTTCGCATTGATCTGTCCTTCTGAATGTCATCGTTGCGCTCCCTTACCTTTCCACTTGCTTCAATCCATCCCGAACACTGTAAAATATAATTACCATGCCAACCAACATATAGCAGCGTAGTGCTTGCTCATTAATCACAGCCGTGTCTCATTTTTGTGCCGGTTTATTCTGAACCAATATACACTGTTGTTCAGTTATTCTTCCGTGTTCATTTGATGCTTCGGTTTTTCTTTCGATCTTCCAGGCCAACAGCGGTCGCGACACAAACGGATGCCAATTTTTCATCACATGTGCTCCGTGTGAATTTCTGGACGGGAAACACGTGGTTTTCGGTAAGCATCTGTCTGTCTGTCTACTGTGGTTTGTTTCCATTCATCGGTCTGTTGGTTTCTTAAAATCACCTCCATTTCCTTTGTTCTTTTTTGGCACACGTTCGGTTGTTGCAACTCTTCTCACTGTGACCTCGCCTTCTAACTCGCCACACTTTGAGTGCTCTTAAAGTCTATTGCATCAGAAGTACCGACGCTTCGCTGCCGCGCAATCACCAACAGTCGCATGTGGGCTAAGGATACTGCGAGGGTCGTTCGGCAGTTACGTAGGCTCGAACCCAGCGCCCTCGGATCACTAGGCATGCTTATGATCCTTGAGGCTACGTATCGGCCCTTAATGCCCATGACTCATCTGTTCTGTCTCTGCTGTTCTTCATGGCCTCTCCCAATAACCCCCTATTAATTAGCTTACGTATCACCATCTTCCTTCTTCTCTCAGGGCAAATCGTGGATGGGATGCTTGTGTTGAAGAAAATCGAAAATATTCCCACCGGTGCGAACAATCGTCCAAAAGTACCCGTGCTTATCTCCCAATGTGGCGAAATGTGATTTCTGTGTACCTGCTTTATATAAACGACAATGGCACAATTTGTACATTTCCAGTTGTTTAAATAGAATCCCTTGCCTCCATCCGACTGCTCCTTCTATTCTCCCCATGATACTGTTGTTGGTCCTGTTTTTTTATTTATCGTTAGCCTGTTCATTTTCCTAGTCACCCTACTGAATTGCCTCATCCTGTTACCAGATACCGATTAATTTGCCCTCAGTGATGATTTCCTGTTTTTGACCCACGATTATCTCATCCGTCCCAGTTTCTCATCAAATTTACGACTGAAGATGTTCGATTAAACACTCTGGAAGGTCTCCCTGGAGTTCTGACGTAAATCTTTCAAATCACCGCACGACTGACTTGGACTACGTTGTTGATATCGCCTTGCTTGGTGACTCACAGATCATACAGGTCGTTCTAAACCGCTTGGTGATTGAACCTACCCAGTATGTCATGACCTTCGTTCCATCGAAATACAACGTCGTACTCCAGGGTTGGCATCCACCTACGCCCGTGCTGATTTTTGAAGGCGCGCAACTCGAACATCAGTTAGCTTCATATCAATAATGTGTGTAATAATAATGTGTCAGCTGTACGCCGTAACGGCGCTTCGCTGCCGCGCGACCACCACCAGTCACGCGCGGGCTGAGTATACCGCGAGGACGCCCACCCCTACGCGGATTCGAACCGGTGACCTTATGGTTGCAAAGCAAACGTGCAGACCACTCGGCCGGTGGCCGAGTGTATTTTCAGCATCTTACAATACCAACTGCAAATTCACTAAACGGGTACCATCAAACATGTTAAAGTTTACAAAAGGATACAAAATGTGTAGAATGCACTGTCATAGTGCGATCAAGCGGCGATCGCATAACGCTTCACTATATCTTCGGGATTTGCGTCCATTCAAAGGGCAAAGCTCCACCAAAGCTCGTCACAGTTGACGTAAGATTTTGTGTCTAAACATGATAGATCGGAGATCTTGCGCGATATCTCAGCATTTATATTCAAAATCCGGATTTAGTGGATTTTTCTCAGAAACCTTGGATGTTGATTTAAGTAAATATCAGCCAGGTTATTCTTGCAACGTTGATATGTCTACAGTAGATGTAAGAATTGCCATTCGGTACAAAAGGCGACGGCCGATTTAAAGGCTCTGCCACCTTGGGCGTTGCGCTTCTTCTGACGGCACTATTGGGAGTGAGATTTCTCTCCGTATTGTCAAAACTCGATCATCTTTCGCTCATAAGAGGCATTTTTGACAGCGTCATAACGTTTCACTCTCAGTAAAGGCTAGAGTCTACAGTACCTGTGTTCGCACGGTCCTGTTGTATAGAAGAGTGTCTTTGCCGATCCGTGAAATGATTTGCGTCGGATTTCGGCCTTTGACAAGGATTGTCAGCGCAGCGTGGCAGAAACACCAGGTTTTTAACCTCGGTGTTAGACTTCGCGTCCTGGGTTATACTGGTTACCTCTTGACAAGTTAATATCGCTTCATCAACTAAGGTGACTTGGTCACGTCCTATGCATGCCTTGCGAGCCTTCACTACGGCGCGCTCTGTACGCTCCCACAGAGCCGCACTGAAAGATGTCGCGCGGTAGCCAATCTACCACATGGCGACAGTACGTCAAGGCGCTGACTTCTAGTTTATGTCGACTCCATAAGTCTTCCGGGCTGGGGAGTCAGAGATGAAGAACATCGCTGGTTGGAGACTCTTGAGGACATGGCGCGTAATCGTGTGCAGTGGAAGGCTTACATGCGTCTTTGCATTGATTCTACTAATCAGTACTAAATTGGTAAAAATGACGAAACGGTACCTGAAAACCGAAAAATTCTCTTCGTGTATTTTCCATTTTGCAATCTTTGTGTTTATTATACGCATCCCATAGTTTCTCGATGACTATTGCATAAACTACTGATATATATATATATATATATATATATATATATATATCATGGCGCTTTGCCTAACTTGATATAGGATCCACTCATGAATAATTGTTCAGTGATCAGATTACTCATGTAGTGAGCAAACCGTCGGCACAATATGAGGGAATGCATGGCTCATTCATTCAAATTTTGTCCTCCTTTTTCGCCGACTCTTAGAGATCAATTTCAGCTCATTTATACGCAACGATAGGCAAAAATATTGCACCTTGTTTAGTGGTAGCGAAAAACTTCAGGTATTGTGCCGCAATACACAGGAAAAGAAGAAATGCACCCAAGGGGCACTCCAGCTTAGCCACCAGTAACGGATGGGCATCGTTCTTGAGAGCTACCACCCGGTTATTTTGCCGAAAATATTTATACAGTCGAACCCACTTTATTGCCCACCCGGTTTATAGCCCACTCCGCTTTATTGCCCAGTTTTTCAAAATACAAATTTTTTCTCATAAATGTGCTATTTTCACCGTTTTTGCCCATTGCCGGGGTCGTCCCACCGCTTAATTGCCCAGCTACGTGGGCTGTGCTCTTGTAACTTTGTCAATTTTACACCCTCGCTCTGCCTAACTTTTATTACGATTACCCCACAGCTAGCCAGTCCGAGCGAGTCAAGAACAACAAAGATGTCGGCGACGTTATTGACCGATCAGAAAAGGTCACCTACGTCATTCAATACATGAGCAAGCTAAATGTACAGACGGCTGTGAGCAAACCCTCGGCCTTATTCAAAACTCTCTCTTTTTCTGCTCCACATCTGTCAGTACTCTATTGGTTACACACAAGCATGGCCAACAACAGAAAGGATTTGTCCTTGACAGAAAAGTTGGACGTTTTGCACGAAATTAAAAAGTATCCGCCAGGAACCTCATAGACGAAGTTACCGCGTGAGTTGCACATTTCTCGTCGTACCCTAGCAAGGTTGCTTGCTAGCGAAAAGGAACTCCGGCGGAATTTTTCGCAGGGCACTGCAAGCTCTCAGAAAAGGAAGCGATGTGGAAAGGATGAAGAAGTTGAAACTGCATCGAAAGGCTGGATGATATCGGTTCGTGGGTGCAACCAAACAGTTACAGGCCTGCTTCTGAATTAAAAGATAGAAGAATTCGGGGAATGACTTGGAAAAAACTTTGCTGCCACAGAAGGATGTTTGCAAAGATGGAAGAATAGAAATCACATTGCGTAAAGAGTTCCGCGGACAGAGCAATCTGTGAAAATTGGCCGAAAGATCGACTGTCTGAACGTTTAAGTGCATTTCATGTTGGCAACGCATACAATGCAGACAGATAGGTTTTTTTACCAAGCAATGTCAGAGGGCTCTTTGTGTTTTCTACCAACAAGCTCAGCGGATCGAAAAAAGCCATGGATAGGATCACTCCTGTGCTGCGCAAATATGTCTTTCACGGACAAAAGAAAACTGGTCTTGATTGGAAAAATTAAGAAACCACGATATTTACATGGCGTGATCGTGGTGACACTTCCTGTAACTTACAGAGCTAACAAAAATGCGTCGATGACGAAAGAACTTTTCACCGAGTGGGTCCTCGAATGGGACAAGAAGCTAGGCCAAATTGGCCGAAAAATTATGTTTCTTTTGGATAATTGCACAGCGCATCCACAGGTAGAAGGCCTGAAAAACATTCAAATGGAATTTTGTCGGCAAACACGACCAGTATTCTTCAACACATGAACCAAGGTGTGATTATGAATCTGAAAATCCGTTACGGAAAGAAATTGTGGACCGAATTCTTTATCACATTGATGACAACGTGTTATCTGGTTCATCCTCAGCGGTGGATGTCAGCGTGAAGATTCCTGTGCTCGATGCAATTCATTTCGTTTCGAAAACTTGGTGATAGGTTACCGATGCAACAATAACAGCTTGCTTTCGGCATGCTGGCTTCAGTCGACTGGCACCCGATGCACTTTCTGATGACGCCATCATCACTGAGGAGGAGATCAGCGCTTGCACAATCCTAGTCATAAATGCAGAAGAGTTCGTCGCCATTGACAACAATGTAGAATGTACCTCAGATCTGACAACTGTTGAAGTTAAAATCCTCAGTCATATTTTAGAGAACCGGCTAGAACAGAAAGAAAGCAGCAACTCAGAGGATAACGTGTCGGACGCCTCTGTGAGTAACAGCAATCAGCGCGTGTCTCATTCAAGAGCTGAGCAACGATGTCTTGTCCAACTTGAACTATTTTAGTGCAAAGGTGACTGAAGTAGCAGCTCAAAGTAATGTACAAATGACGTTGGCTTGTTTTCTCAGCAAAAATATACTAGAGCGCCAGTTTCTATAGCTATCCAGGCAAATGCTTTATGTTATATATTTTAAATTATAGGCAATGCTATTCTGCTTTTGTAGGCTTTAGTTACAAGTACCTATTTTATCCTTCGTAGCACGTTACAATTCAAGTGATATACTGTCCAATAATTCAGTGGTTCTTTCCTTTTTGGAAAAGCTGACAATATCGTTTAATTACCCATCCCGCTTTATTGCTCACTTTTGAAATATCTCAGTGGTGGTCAACAAAGCAAGTCCGACTGTATTATGTCTAAGAAATGGGATCGTGGTTGGAAGAGAAGGCTAAGCGGGACTGAGAGACATAGAAACTCACAACAAACGCTACTGTGATCCGTTCCTATCCATATCAGTATGTGTGTATCCAGCCGAACGTGTTCATCGTCTTTCGGTCCCCAACGAAGGAGCCTAGAGGCTCCAACCGAGGCCAGCGTCGACGTAACGGCCTTAATTGCTCTTCACCAAGTCATCACTTGGCCACTCCTCTTCTCCCTCCTTTCACACCTCCGGTGAGCAAACAACGTACGTCGCCGGAGTTACCAGAAACTAATATGGAGTGATATCGTGTGAATGAAGCAAATCTTCAGCCTTTCCCTATCACAACGCCATTGTTCAGCGTAGTCTCCTGGTTATCCCGATGGCATTCATCACCTGCGGCTATGTTTTTCTACTTATGAGCTGCGTTCTTTGTGACCATTCGTCATCTTTCGCCTCCTTTCCTATAGGCTAGTCTCGGTCGGTGGCCGAGTGGTCTGCACGTTTGGTTTGCAACCATAAGGTCACCGGTTCGAATCCACATAGTGGTGGGCGTCCTCGCGGTATACTCAGCCCGCGCGTGACTGGTGGTGGTCGCGCGGCAGCGAAGTGCCGTTACGGCGTACAGCTGACGCATTACTATTATTAGTCTCGACGAGTCCAGGATAGATCCACTTTCGAGCGACACCGTGTCCATCATATAATTCTGTGAACCAAGTGTTGTCATTCATAGTTTTGTTGACTGCACATTTTCTTCTACCTAGTCAGACTAACTACTGGCTCGTGCAAGTGCTTTAATTGTCCACTCACGCGATACCTCCCTACCTTGTCTGTTCTGCTCTCAGTGATGTTCAAATTTGCACACCGTATTAGCCACCCGACTTCAATCGCAACGTTGTGCTAATCACAGTGTGGAGCTAGTTGTCCTCTTATCACCGTCCCAGCATTATTCAGCGCAGACATTTTCACATAGGCTGCACCATTCTCACTGTGTTCCTCAACACAAGCCACCATCCCCATGTTCCCTAGCCTAAACTTTCTATACCTCTTTCTTCTAAATCCTAACTTATTAACCATCTCAAACAGTGCTCGTCCTTTCCCAATTATTTCATCTATTTTCGCCTCCAGTTAAGAGTTTGCAATCCTCATGATGCTCCGGTCAGCATGCGTTCCCAGGTAGCATTATCTGACTAGAATTTGTCAATATTTTGTCCAGCTACTTACGCTTTCCCTTCAACCACAGTGTGTCTCTTTTGAACTCTTGCGCGGAGGTCATTAATGCTCCTAATGGGCGCGTACGTCCTCATCACATACCAACAAGGTGAATACTACCATCGTATGCCTTTGCACATCATGTCTCTGATTAGCTAAAATATCATTATTGATCCCAGCGATCTTCCTGTTTTCCGGATGCGGGAATAGTTTGGTTACCTTTAAAATGAGCTCTACTCAGTGTTATTTTTTGCTATTCCGCTTTCTCTGACACACATGGAAACTGTTATTTCTCGTACCTTCACTTACAGAACGGTTAGGGCGTATTTATGTGTATTTGCTGTTTCCCCTGAAACATGGCATGGAAATTAACTCATATTCACAATGCCTCCGATTTCCAAACTATTATACTTCATAATACAGCTGAAATAAGCTTATTACTGCTTTCCAGCTGGGCACTAGTGCTGGCCGCGAAGTTGCACACACACATGGTCGCAAAACCTTGTCCTTCATGGACACACGCTTTATTCAACAAAGCAGTCTTAACGAAGAGAGTAGCATAACTGGCCACACAGCGTGCTCCCTAAATTCAACTTGAATTACTTTCCGCTGTGCCAAGCGTTGCTGGCGGATCTCAGTAGCATAGTGTTCAGGGCGTCAGCCATGAGCTGCTGAACTCTGAGTTCCACCCCAGCTCAGGCTATCTCCACCTAACGAGTCTAAAACAAGACGAAACCGCGGCCGTGGTGTGCCAGTGTTTGGAAGAGCAACACCCAAATATATCCATTCAGGATACGGTCCTCGAGATCGGAATGACCGTGGTTTACCTCAAAGTGAGCCGAGGTCTCAATAGAGGTTGCGAGTCGCAACCCAACCACACAACGTGCTCCCTATATTCAACTTGAGAAAGTCTCGATGTTTATAAGCAGGCGGTTTCCATAACTAACGATGTATCTGCGTTCACGGGTTTATTCCCTTAGTTCGGTCAAACAAACTCCAACACAGTCAAACAGTAGCCACTCGGCGTATTCGCAGAGACGTGTAAACGTCCAATCCTCTGCTAGGTTCTTTTGTGGCAATTCAGCGGCTTGCTTCCTCAGGTAAATCCGCATCGTCCCTCTCGCTGCATATTCCCTTCGCCCACACACTCCTGCACACATCGGGACACTGGATGCGTACCCAAATTGTGACTCGTGGCGTCACATGACATGGGCGAAGCTTCACGCTACCGTAGAGGATGCTGACTGAAACTCACTGTGGATTTCAGGGTGTATAAGATAAACTGAGAATTCCAACATCTATTTCCAACTTGTTTTATCTCCTTGGGATGACTTTTGCCTCTTTAGCCACCGGGTCGCGAAGGGCAACGATTAATGACCGTTTAGAAAGTCATTTTGAAACACTGCTTATGTGAATGGATTGCCATGCTTAATCTCAATTTAGACCGCAATTTACATTGAAATTAACTTTGGTCACTGCGATCACTGGGACCGTAGCCGAAGCAGATTGAAATTGGGTGTTGTTCGCCCGAAATTACTTCACACTACGACGCCCCTCGACTTCATCTGGTCTCATCAGGCTGATATCATGCCTAGAACGCGGAATAATGGCCGAAACCTATACTCCTTTGGCTACCGAGTCACGCTTGTCACAACGATTAATGATTGATTTTGGAAGTCATTTTGTGGTACACGTTGTGTGATTGGATTGCGACGCGCAGTCTCGATGTTGACCGCGATTCCCATTGAAGTGAACCTTGGTCTTTCAACCACGGGGACCGTACCCGAAGCCGGTAGAGACTAAGTGTTGCCCGCCCGAAATCACTGCACTCCTAAGACTCGTTTTGACCTCATTTCCTCTCACTAGGTAGAAATAGCAGGCGTTGCCCTTGGGATGTTAGCTGAAACCTCTGTCTTTTCGGCCACCCTTTTCACGATGCGCAACTCTTGTCACCCGAGTTAATGCGAAGCGCGGTGCACGTCGAAATCGCGCTCCGCAATGCACTCACACAGTGGATACTTCAATATGACCCTCCAGGTAAACCGAGAATTCTCTTTCCAACTTCCACACACTCGTTACCCTTCTCTAACAATGCATCTCGTCCCGTATCCTGGACAGTTGTTTTGCTTGCATACATCTCTCCTTACTCCCCTATTACGTAGGAATATCTTTGTCTACTTAACTCGCAGTGCTACGCCTCACCTCTTGTTTTGTCCTTGCTGGACTCTAAAGATTCAAATAGGCCAACCAGAGGTCGAATTCAATGGCTTATGGTTGCTTGCCGTTTTCAACAGACTAGTAGCATCTGCCAACAATGCCTATGATAGCGGCTGTCAGTTACTCGCAATAGTTGGCTGGCTTTCAGGCCTAATCACTTTTCACGTAGGTGCACATTCGTGGAATACATGAGCTTCGCGTCGAGCGTTGTTTGTTCCAGTGCACTCGCCAATTCAAAGGAGTCTTTCAAACCGTGCGTGCTCAGGAGCTTACGCACAGGTTCTAAGAGCTTTGCCAACCACCGGGCTACTTTGTGGTAAGGTGAGTTATCCATACATAGTATTGGGCGTAGTGGAATTCCTGCCTTGTGCAGCTTCGACGCACCCCTCATCCTTGGGGTTTCCGTCCCTGTCGCTTTTAACTGCCGATATTGTGACGGAGGTATAACCATGAAGCAAAGCAATTTGTATCTGCCTTGCAATTTGTTTCTCCACCAAGATAGTGTTGTCCAGCGTCTTGTCAATACGAGACTTGCGTCCATCTCCGAGAATGGACTCCATTTTGTCGATGTAATCAGCTTTGTCCATTATTACCACACTCGTGCCTTTATCCGGCTGCAGGAAAATTATGTCCCTCATTTTCTGCAGCTCCTTGATTGCCACATAGTATTCCGACTTCAAGCAACATCTCTGACTAATAGCCGCGTTTAGGAACTGGTTCGAGATATTCACTAATTTCGTCCGAAATCATCCTGGATCATCCGTTGATTTCGGCGAAAGGTCACAACGCTCGACGCGGAGCACATGTATTCCATAGACGTGGAATCGCCTTTCACGAAGGTGCTCTTACGTGAAACGGTCGACTACCTATTCACTTTTGTTCGTCAGTGTTACAATAGACCTTACTAAACTAGGACTTGTTTACTTTGGATTCGGCTTTGGTTACCTGTATCGCTGAACGATATATAAATTTAGGCAGAAACGGTCATAGAACCCAGCACTGAGGATGAGCTGCGCTCAATGTACCTTATATCAGTTGGCCGTCTTAACTTTCTTGGTTACTTGAGCGTTGTTTGCGCGACCCGGGGTCTGAAGTTGAGCAAAGGAAGGAATGCCAACGGACGACTTGGTCAGGAGGAATGAAGGTCCTTAGTTCGACCTTGGCCTCCGTTAGGGCCCGAAAAATGTGAACAGGTTAGACTGGATACACCTGTTCATGTGGCTAGGAGCCGAACACAGTTGCGTTTGTGTTGTGAGTTTCTTTGCTGCTGCCCTTCCAACTACGATCTCATTTCTGACGCATAATATAACTTTTTTTTACGGAACCATGTCCATCCGTTACTAGTGGCTCAATTGGCCTACCAATGTTACGTCTGCTTTCCTTTTTCATGTATAGTCAGACCTGTCTAAGGTGACCACTCAAGGGACGGACAAAATGTGCTCGTTTTGTACAGGTGCTAGCCATGGACAGCTTCATGCAAGGGACATTACTCGTGCATTGAAAACTTTGGGGTTGTTTTTGGCTGGTCGCCATAGCAGGTTGGACTGTATTACGGTACGATAGCTGAGGTGTTTTCCACCTTTAGCTAACATGCATAATGGTGATGATGAATTCGGAGTACCTCAGCCGCTGCTGAGGCAGCGCGCCTCGACCCAAGACGGTGAATGATCTGAGCTAAATGGTCAGCGCCCATCTTTCCCACATTCAGTTGTGCGTGTGCCTGTCGTTTCACCCCTTTGTTGACCGTATTTTTTCTACGTGCGACGCACCACTCTCGTCTAAACGTTTCTTATGAGTCGATTTATTGCCGGTGTTATCCCACTTTTACTCATTTCTTTAGGAGTCTCGTAATCTTCAGCGTTTCGCACTTCGCGTTTTGAGTAGCACTCGGATATCAGAGGACAATGAGGATGATGACAATGTCCATATGTCTCACCGTTCAAAAGCACCCTTGCCTACGACCAGCAGACGTCGTTTAAGAATTTTCGACGAGGACGATGAAGATGGTGAAAACATTGATCCATATCTTTCATCTGATCCACTGTTGCCTTCATCCATACATTTTCCGACTACCATCGAGGAAGGTAATGCCTCTGAGGCTTCCGAACGAGATGAAGACGAGGATCCGGAGGAATACTCAGCCGGATCGGGTTCTTACTGTACTGAATATTCTGGTGACGATGCATCACCAGGCTCGCCTGCTGACCGCCCAGTTAAATCGAATCGTGTAAATGAGCGCTTCGATCGAATGGAGGAGACCGGTGGTCATCGATCACCTCCAGGCGTGGCAGAAAATGCGGGTCGGTCTGAAGGTAATTTGGCACTATTTTTGTTTTGCAATTTGCTTAGGTAAATCTACTTCGAGCATTATTTGTCCTTTGTGACCCCGACTCCTCCAATTTATTGATGAAAGATATTCGGTCATCGCTGGTTGCACAGAAGCTAAACACTCGTTTCTCCTGGATTCTTGCTTCCTAGTTAGCACCCATTTACAGCGGGTGCTACAAGTCTCCACGGCTTCACCCACATGACGGAAACATTGGAGTTATTTTCCCATAGCAACTAATTTCCGAGTACCAACATCATCCTGAGACCACGGCTGTTCAGGAGCCCTGTGTATCAACTCTGTGTGTCTTGGATTTCTAAAAGCACTCCGGCTAGGGGTGTATCTCAACTTTCGTACAGACTCCGAGGTTCCACGTCTGCATTCAATGCGAAATGTAAGACTGTAGGTGTGCTCCTCCTTAATTATTCCAACGCTTATGGAAGTATAGGTAAAAGTTGATCAGATTGCCCTCATATGCCCGGAATAACACTGTACGGCCGTTTTATCCCCTCGGGAATCATCACCAGTGTGCATTTCATCTGCCCCCCTATGGGACTCGAACCCACGACTCGATGGATGTTAGTCTGTGGTTGAGAGCACTTCACAACGGCGGACGCTAATGACCATCGTGAATAAGTTATTATATGTGATATAGCGCAGTTCACAGTATTCAGACCAAACTGCTTATAATGCCACTAATTAATTGGCTGCTCAACTTTGTCAAGTTCATTTTTTGATGTGGGAGCCACCCTGTCCTCTGAACAATATTAACGAGCAAGTCAGTGATAGAAACGGCAGAGACTGACTTCCACTTCGGCGTGTCACAATCTAAGACACACGGCGGGTACCCCAAAACCCAACATCTAATTTCAAAGTTTCTTTTTTGCCACAGGCGTTATGCAGATCTCCAAATGTCTGGAGTAGCGTCGCCATGTGGATAACGATTACAAAACCCTGTCGACGCAATCCCTCTCCACAACTGGTGAGGGGGTATCGGACGCACTTGCCATACTTGCGTTCATTTTCTTGAGTTCGCGGTGGAGTTCAAAGTAATGGAATACCATTGTTTGATCAGGAACAGAGAACGATGTGGGATGGGTGCTTTCTGTGGGGAAGAGCAAAACGGAAGATTGAGTCTGTCCATATCCACAATACCAAGCTGCTTCTTAATACTTATCATATACTCACGGCATTTGTGACTTCACAAAGCATCTCTTACGTACAAATTATTCAGTCGTGGAATTTCATCATTTATTGGCCTGTTCTTTTTTCCTTCTAAGTTCGAGTGTTGGTGAAGAGAATCTATCTACTCGTACGTAGATGGTTTCAACCGACCAGCAACAATTGTGATAGTCATTGTGATGTTCACATTGAACAGACATCTTCGTTGGTAAAACTGTTAAATCCGTGGAAGCCAGCGTTTCCTGGAGTCTCGCGATTTTTGATGCTGAACAATCCTTTCGCCCCAGTTTTGAAAGGCCTATTAGCCAATGAACTGGAATGAGCCTTAGTGTAAACGATGAGGCACACTCTTATGATAACTCGATCGGAGTTACCGAATGGTGCACGTATTCGCGCAGAAAACGGCCCAGTTAGATTTCTGACGATGAAATGTAATTGCACTTCTAGTCTGATCGGAAGGGCCACCGTGTTATTCAAATCAAGTGCCTCGGTGAATCTGGTATCAGTTTTATTGAAGTCCCTGGCGATTACACAGACTGAGCAGTCAAGTTTCAGCAATGACACCAAGGATAGGTGGTCTACAATTTTCCTAATTTCTTTATGATGATTTCTTGTGGAGGCCTTGTATACGTTTCCATTGACAACAGAGAACCAAAACACCCACAAACTCTGGTTTGCATTTAATCGAATGGCGGGTGATTGTGACTGTTGTGTAGTCGGTGTTGCATCGACCACTTATTCACATTACGTCAGTTGTTGGAGCACCGTCACATATATTGACGGTCCACCGTTGTCGTGTTCCTCGACATTAAAAGTGCTTTCGATTCAGTGGATCGACGTGCCCTTTTGGACTGTCTAATCAGGAAAGGTGTGCCCCATAAGTATGTAAATATTATTCGAGCGCTTTACGCTCGTAGCTGGGGCAGAGTGTGAGCTTACGGCAAGCTGTCGCCGCCAGCGGTCTAAGACAAGGATGCCCGCTGTCACCTTTCCTCTTCAACTTCGCCATTGACGAAGTCATGGAAATCGCGTTCACAGGACACGACTTAGAAGGTGTGGATCTGCTCCCAGGTGAACGACTTCTTGACTTGGAGTATGCTGACAATATTACCCTCATCTGTGACAGCGCCCAAACGTGACAAGCAGCACTGGACCGATTAGCACTGACTGTCACCCGTTTCGGGATATGCTTTGCACCCTCAAAGTGCAAAGCTTTCTACCAAGATTGACAGGAGCCGCCACCTGCGCTGACCTTTGGTGGGGATCAGCTAGAAGTCGTTCAAAAGTTCAATTACCTAGGTAGTTGTGTCAGCGCCGTTGGAATTGAAGACGATGTCACAAACCGTATAGCAAAAGCACGAGACGCTTTTTTTAATCTTCGTTACCTATGGCGCCGGCGCGACATCACTTTCTCCCTGAAGGATAAAGTGTACAATGCAGCAGTACGTTCGACCTTACTGTACGGTTGCGAAACCTGACACATTAGCTCAGCCGACATAAAGAGGCTAGTTATGTTCGACAACCGGTGCCTTCGAAGTTTGGCTCACATCTGGTGGGAACACCGCGTGAGCAATGACCGTATTCGACGCCTTGTTTATTGCACAGGAGGAAGAAGCGAACCGCTCAGCACCGTTATACCATGCACCGGCCTACGATGGCTGGGCCACGTCTTTTGCTTGCCAGATCACCGACTCCCGCGACGTGCGTTGTTTGCGCGCCGGGGGTGGGGATGGAAGAAGAGGAGGAGTGGCCAAGCGATGACTTGGTCGAGAGGAATGAAAGGCCTTGGTTCGAACTTGACCTCGGTTGGATCTTCTCGGCTCCCTGGTTGGGGCCCGAAAGACGATGAACACCTTTGGCTGTATACACTTGTTGATATGGATGAGCCAACCTCAATGGCATTTGTGTTGTGAGTTTCTTTGTCCATCCTCTTCCCGCTTAGCCACCCCCTCCCACCATGGTCTCATTTATTAGGCATAATATGACTCCTTTTTTGCGGCACAACAGCCGGCTGGTAGCTCTCCGGAACGATGTCCTTCCGTTACTGGTGACTAAGCTAGGGTGCCTCTATTTCATTTTTTCTTTTGAATTGCGATATTTTCCACCTGCAGCTAACGTGTATGGTGGTAGATGCATGACTGCTGAGTTAGAGCGGCGTTGGTTTATGTAAATGATGGCACCGCCACCACGATTCTGAGGCAAATTGAGTAACATCGTCTTCCATATCAGAATGTTGCCGGCTTGCTTACAGCCTCAAGTTGGTTACATTTGAATAATCATTTCGCTGCATTACATCAGTAAGATCCACTATTCCTCCTGAGAGTAAGCAAATATTGTTGGCTAGGATTAGGTATAGTTAGGTATTACCGATTGGACAGCTTCTAAGACCGTCCGTCTAGTCAGCATGTTGCTGTCTTAATTTCTAGAGTCTTTTCTCATGACTTTTGCAAATTTTCTTAATCTCTGGGCATATTCAACGATACGCGAATTTAAAACAATATCCCGGAGAGATTCCAAAGCATGGACGGAATAGGACATTATTGAGGTCAACACAGATAGTCCAAATAAGCAAAATTGTGGAAATATTGTGTGAAATGGATAAACCCGCAGTAGCCAGAGTGAAAAATGATTTTCCAACGAAAATAGCGACGATTAAATTGAAAGCCCCGCCGCCTTAATGTTATAGGCTACTCACTGGCATCACGGTCCATCGATTCTCTGAATCGAATCCGTGGAAATCAATAGGAGTTACTCTTCGCATTTCATATTCTTCTTTTACTTATGGCTCAACTTCCGTTCCATCTGTTCCTGTTTGTGACGGTACATGTTCTTCAGGAATATATGCTGATATTTCCTCATCCGAATTTTTCACACTCCATCTCACGAGCATAAGCGAGTCTACCGCAACAGGTGTGATATGTCGTTCTTGCAAATTTTCACCGTTCATATTCATGGTCGTTGTAAAGTCCAAAAGAACTTTGATTTCCTTTACTAGATCGATTATTCCATCTTGATGACTCAGTGATCCTATTCCCACCTCTTTCCACCTTTCTATCTAATAACATGTTTTTCGTGCTCAAACGAGTATCGTCTTATATTTATTTCAATTGCATGCACTTTTCTCAAGGTCACGCTTGCACCAGTCTGCTTTAAACATCACTGTTACTGTTATTAGTTTCCACTGCGGTTGCAACCCTAGTCGTGAGTACTATCTTGTATATTATTCTGCCCTTTAGAAACACTGTTCATCATCATCATCATCATCGGTACACGTTAGTTGAGGGTGAAAAGCACACCTCAGTTAATGTACCGCAATACAAAAAGGTACAATACAGAGTTACGCTACACAAAAGTTCAAAAACAGGTAATATACTGCTAAATATTATATTTTGCATTTCGTTTGTGATCGGAATTGATGCGGGGATCTAAAAGTGAGGGGGTTGGACAAAGAAACTCACAGCACAAACGCCACGGGAACCGACTCTTCGCCATATCAGTAAGTGTGTCTAACTAAACGTGTTCCTCGTCCTTAGGACCCCAGCCAGGCAGTCAGAATGCACCAACCGGTGCCAGTTTCGATGTGAGGGTTTTCGTTTCTCTCGACGAAATCATCGCTTGGCCTACCCTCCTCCTCTTCCAACCGCACACCGGGCTCGCAAACACACGCACACGTCGCGGGAGTCGGTGTGCTGGCATGCGCAACACGATGCCAAGCCATCGGAGCCTGGTGCGTGATATAATGGTTCTAAGCGGTTCACTGGCTCTTCCTGCACCAAATACGCGACGCCGAACACGCTCATTGCT